GCACATGGGCAATAGATTGCACTGTAATTATTGTCCATTGATTATTGCAATTTGATTATTGTTTGGGTTTGTTGAGACATCTCTCCCTATAACTTGTAGTCCATTAATGAACCTACTTTTCTGCAGCAGTGTGACTTGTTTTGGCTCTTTTCACCACCACCTCCTCCTGTTCACTCTCATCCGAGGAGCTCGACGGTTCTCCCCGTTTATAGCCGGGAGGCAAAGCAGGGCCAGAGACTAACACAGGGAGGCAACAAGCATTAACCAACCATGGTAAAATGAACCTGGTACGAATACTACTGATTTATATTGTGTTTCATAGAAAGAAACGGCGGCTCGTAGTCTCTGACAAAAGATATTTAGTCTTATACTCACATCCTTTGTCATTATCAGAGTCTTCATCGCTCTTTTCCTCTGTAAACATCGGAGGTAAAACAGGTCCGATTGGTTTATCACACGACATATCTCACACTGATGACTTACACGTAGTTTCAGGAATTTCTATTAAAGTAAAAAAAAAACCATAAACCAGAAGAAGCTAAAAGTAAGAAGTTGACTTTTCACCCCGGAAGTAAACAGTGAGACTTTGTCAAGTTAGCCGAAGATAACAGCGCTAAAACCAGAAGTGACCATTTCTGCTGCAAGAATAAAAGCACAGGATATAAGAAGTGTTTTATTTTATACATTATATCTTATCCTGAGAGACTGTTTCTAGTTGTTTTTCGGGTTTCAGTCATGTATAAAGCTTCTGGTGTGCATTGATTAACAAAAAAAAAAAAACATAAAACAAATCAATATTTTTTATTATAGTGTACCTGAAAAATGTCTATTATGTATATTTTCTTGAGTTTATTCTATTCTGTGTATGTACACTAAAAGAAAACAACGTCAAATGCTTTGTATGTGTACATATACCTGGCCAATAAAAGTGAACATATTTAATTTAGATATTAAATGGGTAGGTAAGCCCGTTATTTTACCACTTAGTGTGGTTACAGTTGAGGGTGCTTTAATAATCTTCTCTAATACATCCCAGACTGCCCCCTAAATTATTTCTCTTCAGTAGTCGTGCTCAATGAGTTTAGCGCCTCTAAAATAAATGTCCCTAAAACAGGATTTTATTTTGAAGGCCGACGCCGGAGGTTTTGTTTCTGCATTACGTTAGCTTACTAGACACCAGTACTGTGTCGTAGCAACATTTGCCTCACACTACACAGTGTCTCTTTGTGTGATTTCAGGAGGACAGCGGACAGATTATGTAGATATATCTGATGTGTTTTGATAGATATTACCTGTTTAAAGCTTTGTAGAATGGGCAAAAAGGATAAAGGAGATCGGGGTGAGTTTCTAATGTTACTGTTGAACTTAGCTATCAGCTAACTTTGTGCCAAACTGAAAGGTGACAGTCTTGAACATTTTACTGACACTCATATTTCTCTGTTGAGACACTGTAGTTTTGCATGAAGACATTATCTGTTTTTGGTAGCAGTTATAGTGAACATGTAGTGTAGTTCAGGGGATGGCAGGTCGTTTCCTCTTACTAAACTGTATGCATTTGTCCACCCCTGTTACTGAGCATATTTTCTAACTCATACTGTTGGACTACAGACAAGAAGTCCAAAAAGCGCTTCTTTGAGGAGGAAGAAGACGAAGGAGAGGCTGGGGGCAGTGAGTCTCAGGAGGCTATACCTGCTGCTGCAGGTAAACAAGTGGATGAGTCCAATACAAAACTGGACGAGTATGGAGCCAAAGACTATCGTAGTCAGATGCTGCTGAAGAATGATCACACTTCACGTCCCCTCTGGGTGGTAAGACATGTTTGGACTGTTGATTTCCTCACTTGAGACTGTTTTTTTCAAAACACGTGTGGTCCTCTTAATCCTAATGATTTGTATTTCTTTCTCATCTTCTTTTTTTCATTCTCCCCCCTCCAGGCTCCAGATGGACACATATTTCTGGAAGCTTTCTCACCAGTGTATAAGTACGCCCAGGACTTCTTGGTGGCCATTGCAGAGCCAGTGTGCAGGCCTAACCATGTCCATGAGTACAAGCTGACAGCCTATTCCCTGTATGCAGCTGTCAGTGTGGGGCTGCAGACCTCTGATATTGTGGAGTACCTGCAGAAACTCAGCAAGACGTCTGTACCTGATGGAATCGTGCAGTTCATCAAGGTCTGAATGGGAGAGTATCCGGTGTTTTTAGGGGGGACGAGGAGGGAAAATTTCCAAATGTATTGTTTTGCAAGACTTGGTTATTCAATCAGTGCATTTAATCCCTCTCTTTCTCTCAGCTCTGCACAGTGAGCTACGGCAAAGTCAAGCTGGTGCTCAAGCACAATAGGTGAAGTCATTTCAACAATCATTCCTTTGCATCATTAGTCGTCCCTTCAGTGCTCTTCCTAAACTGTGCTGCCTATCTACCCTCAGGTATTTTGTTGAAAGTGCCTTCCCTGATGTGATCCAGCGCCTTCTGCAGGACACCGTTATCCGTGAATGTCGTCTCCGTACTGCAGACGGAGCTGACACTGAGCTCATTACTGAGGTCATCCACAGCAAGTCAGCGGTATGGTATATCTATTTTAACTCACACACAATCATATCAAATTATTTATTACTGTCGCAGGTGCAAATTACTTTAAACTTTCAACCAAATCATTAAAATCATAATGATGATGTTATTAAATTACTCCTAACAGCACTGTAAATCTTCTTTGACTGAAAAGCATTGTTGCGAGACCCTGAATGTTTAGAATTATCTGTCACATTTCTGGCAATAATATTGCACTTAAAAGTCACACCGAAGTGTGATGTAGCGTTAAACTAGAGCGCAGTGTGATGTGCTGTACTTCACAGGTTGGACACAGATCATGCAGCTACAGCTAGATGGCAGCATAGCCACAATTTTAAACTTGTGGGTAGCCGCTTGTAAAAATAGGATTGTGCACACATTTGAACAAAGTAATATTGATGACACGAGGGAGGATGTCTTGTGATGTAGTTTTTCTAACCTGTAAGTTATATTACCATCTTACTGAAAAGCAATAAAAACAAGTCCCTGAAGAGAACTGTCCTGGTCAAACACTAACACATGTCCTTCTGTGTCTCCTTCTGACAGATTTCCAAGTTTTCTCAGGAAAAGGGAGGTACCTCCACCTCACAGGAGCCCAGCGATGGACAAACTTCATCCCAGCAGGTCCCTGAGGACATCTTCAGCTACTATGAGCAGATGGATAAAGAAGAAGAGGAGGAGGAAGAGACTCAGACTGTGTCCTTTGAGATTCGCCAGGTAGTCATCTGAATCAGCACTACATACTTTACATGATTACATTACTGCTGACCATTTTTAAGCAAACGGCTTTTTGAAAATGTTCATATTCAGTTTACAAGGATATAAAACTGAGAAAAGACTCACTGAGAATGTTTTGGCAATCAATAATCATCAGAATTGTTGACGAATCATTTTCTGTTGAGTGAGTAATCGATTAGAAGTTTCAAGGGACTGTTTAGAAAACTCCAAGTTTGTGGTGTTGCACAAAAAGGCTTTGATATAAGGCTGTCTACATGCGATTGTATTACCACAAGATGATACTGTATCATTGTGGGTGCGATGATCATTAGGAGGGATTACACTTCAAGCAAATCAAGGCTCTAAATGCTGATTTGCATACGCACAGATAATAGCCTGGCTGCCTGGAAGATGGGAAATTAATCCAAAAACATATGGTATGCTTTGTAAAATGGTTAGCAGTAATATGAGTATGCATAATTTTTAAATATTGAACTGAAACATTCAAAACAACTGATTTGGTTCTTGAAATGAGCATTAAACATTATATTTGATTGCTAGTCACTAAAAGCCATTGTTTATGTTTTGTGGCTTTATTTAAAATTAAGTAATTAAGTAAAAGAATAAATTGTATTTCTATATTCTATTCTGAACTGTCTGTATTCTTCTTTTGTCTTGCGTAGGAGATGATTGAAGAGCTGCAGAAGCGTTGTATTCAGCTGGAGTACCCCCTGCTAGCAGAGTACGACTTTCGCAATGATACAGTCAACCCAGACATCAACATAGACCTAAAGCCCACTGCTGTGTTGCGGCCCTACCAGGAAAAAAGTCTGCGAAAGATGTTTGGAAATGGACGTGCTCGCTCTGGGGTCATCGTGCTGCCCTGCGGTGAGACAGCTGGTTCACTTTGCCGAACAAAACAGAAGAGACACAACCAAAGCGTTTCATCCCAATAAAAATACAAATATGGAATGGCAAAATGGTAGAAGAATTAAACAAACAAAAGGGATATACTCTTGTACCCCTCAACTAAATCCCAATACTTACTGTTAGTAATCTTTTTGTAGCATAAATCGTGTGTGTAAAACTTGTGTATGTTTCAATTATGTTATTTCCCGTTTGCTTTCCAGGAGCGGGTAAATCACTGGTGGGCGTGACAGCAGCGTGCACGGTGCGTAAACGCTGCCTTGTGTTGGGGAACTCGTCAGTGTCAGTGGAGCAGTGGAAGGCTCAGTTCAAGATGTGGTCCACTATTGATGACTCTCAGATCTGCCGCTTCACCTCCGACGCCAAAGACAAGCCCATCGGCTGCTCGGTGGCCATCAGCACGTACTCTATGCTGGGTCACACCACCAAGCGCTCCTGGGAGGCTGAGAGGGTCATGGAATGGATGCGGAGCCAGGAGTGGGGACTCATTATCCTGGATGAGGTGCACACTATCCCTGGTGAGCTGTTAAAATACATCAGACAACTCAATAATGCCTTTCAGTTCCAATGTCATGCTATGA